CAGCAGCAGCAGCAGTACCAGCAGCAGCAGCAGCAGCAGCAGCAGCAGCAGGCGGCGCGAGAGTAGCGTTGCTGGCTGCTACTACGAGCTGCCCCCTTTAGATGAAGCGACGCTCCGCTCTCTTCAATACGTAGACGCAGGTGCTGCTGCTGCTGCTGCTGCTGCTGCTGCTGCTGCTGCTGCTGCTGCTGAGGGCGGAGCGGACAAAGCCTGCACAGAGACGCAGGCACCAGATGCAGCAGCAGCAGCCAATGCTGCTGCTGCTGCTGCTGCCACTCCGTCGAACAGCGGCGACGCCGCTGTTGCGTCAGTTCGACGCAGCAGTAACAACTTTCCCAGCAGCAGCAGCAGCAGCAGCAACATCAGCAGCAGCAGCAGCAGCAGCCTGGAAATGCAGCAGGTCTATAGGCGTCCGCGCCACATAGCAAGTTTACAGCAAGCAGCAGCAGCAGCAGCAGCAGCGCCGGCGTCATCACCCGAGGCCGCAGCAACGGCGACGACGGGCCGGCGACCTGCTGCTGCTGCAGCGGACGAGGACGCTCTTGAGCGCCAAGGCAGTCCCGCCAGCCGCCCGCGGCCGCGGCAGCCTTCGGCATCGCCCTTGCCGCGGCAGCCCCGCCAACAGCAGCAGCAGCAGCAGCAGCAGCAGCAGCAGCAGCAGCAGCAGCAGCGGATGGGGGCCCGGGACCGAAACATCTGCACCTTCGGCGCAGACCACGGGGGCCGCTGGAGCTGCCAAGAAATGTTTGCTGTTAATGAGCAGCGCTTTGGAGTGAGTTCGACTTACACACTGGAGGCCTACACCACTCCGCTGCAGCCCAGGCGGCAGCAGCAGCAGCAGCAGCAGCAGCAGCAGCAGCAGCAGCGGCAGCAGCAGCGGCAGCAGGGGCTGCAGGGGCTGCTGCAGCAGCAGCAGCAGCAGCAACAACAACAGCAGCAGGCCGCCGCGGGCAAGGTAGCCGAGCGGGCCAAAGGCCAGCGGCAGCAAGATAAAGCAAATGCCAAGCCGCAGCAGCAGCAGCAGCAGGAGCAGCCACAGCAACTGCAACAGCAGCAGCAGCTACAGCAGCAGCAGCAGCAGCAGCAGCAGCAGATCCGCATCAGTAGCTGCAGCCCAGCGCCAACCCCAGCGCCCGCTGGAGGAAATAAGCTGAAGGGCTCTGCTGCTGTCATCTGCCGACGGCTGCAGCAGCAGCAGCAGCAAAAGGAGCAGCAGCAGCAGCAAAGGCAGCCGCAGCAGCAGCAAAAGCAGCAGCAAGAGCAGCTGCCACTCGCCGAAGCTACGACGAGATCTACCTCTCCACCCGACGCAGGAACTGCCGGGTATGATGCACAGCAGCAGCTGCAGCAGCTGCAGCAGCAGCAGCAACAGCAGCAGCAGCAGCAGCAGCAAGAGCAGCAGCAAGAGCAGCAGCGACAGTCTCTTCGGCATGCCCTATTGGAGGCAGGCAGTCGGAGCCGGCAACGAGTCCGCCCGACTTTGCTGCATTCTTCACCAGCAGCAGCAGCAGCAGCAGCGGACAGTGCTGCTGCCTCCCAGCAGCAGCAGCAGCAGCAGCAGCAGCAGCAGCAGCAGGAGAGCTCTTCGCTGCGCGCTAACACCCCTTCTTCAGTGCCCCCACCGCAGTACATGCAGCAGAAGCAGCTGCAGCAGCGGCTGCAGCAGCTGCTGCTGCAGCCGCGGCTGGCTGCTCCCTTGGCGGGTGGCGGTGCAGGGGCGCGCAGCAGCAGCAGCTGCCGGCGCAGCAGCAGCTGCTGCAGCAGCGGCCGCAGCTGCTGCTGCAGCAGCTGCAGCAGCAACCCCGAAGCAGAGCTGCTGCCGCTCTCGCCACCCCCAGCCCCCTACCTCTGTGCTGCTGCTTCCCCCAGCAGCATTAGTGATTATAGCATTATAGGAGAAAGAGCAGCAGCAGTTTCTTTTGTGTCAGTTCCTTCTCTTCTTTCCAACTCCGAAGAAGCTGGGGGCCTCTTGGGGGCCCCCCTGCTGCAGGGGGGCCCCCCTGGCCGCAGCAGCAGCAGCGAAGAGGAGGGCTACGTGCTGCAGCGCGCAGCCTCGCTGCTGCTGCCGTCGGGAGCAGCAGCAGCAGCAGCAGCAGCAGACGCAGCGCGCAGCCACGAAGCGCCAGCTGCCTGCTCCAGAAGAGGCCTCAGCAGCAGCAGCAGCAGCAGCAGCAGCAGCAGCAGCAGCAGCAGCTACAAGCTCAGAGCTGGCTCCAAAGACAGAGCTCGTACGCTTGACGCGCCTCAGGGGCACCCAGCAGCTGCAGAAGCAAGTGCAGCAGCAGCAAATGCTGCTGCGGCAGCAGCTGCAGCAACTGCAGCAGCAGTAGATTAGCCCAGTTCTGCTGCTTCGCTCTCCGCAGGAGAGCAACACACAGCCGCAGCTCTACGCCTGGCTGCACTGCACTGCGCTGCAGCAGCAGCAGCAGCAGCAACAGCAGCAGCAGCAGCAGCAGCAGTAGCAGCCGCAGCAGCAGTAGGAGCAGCCGCGCGGCAGTAGCAGCAGCCGCGCAGCAGCAGTAGCAGCAGTAGCAGCAGCTGCAGCAGCGCAGTAGCAGCAGCTGCAGCAGCGCAGTAGCAGCAGCAGCAGCGCAGCAGCAGCGCTGCTGCTGCTGCAGCAGCAGCAGGTTGTGACAGAGCTGCCTGCGTGGTGCTCTTGAGCGGTGTTTGTTGTCTCTTGAAGAACTGCAAAACTAAAAAATGAAAAGTGCGGGAAAGAGACGCAAAAGAATTTGCCAAGACGCTGAGGTGTACGTACACCCCAAGTTGCTGGGGTGTACGTACACCGGAGCTCTGCGGTGTACGTACACCCCAAGTTGCCAGGGGCGGCGGGTCGAAACTTCGCCAAAAAGAGTCGGAAAAAGACAAAAAGGGGCAAAAAGAAGTCCAAAAAGACGAATAAAAGACCAAAAGCAACTCAAAGGAACTATTTAATGTCCGAAAAGTGGAGAAAAAGAAGAAAAACCAAAAAATTGCAACACGCCACAGGGGCCCGGGAAAGCCGCAGCGGGATCTTTCGAGCTTTTCTTTAGGACCTTTTTAGATCCTTTTTAGACTCTTTTTAAAACACTTTTTAGACCTTTTTGGACACTTTTTTGGACTCTTTTTAGACTCTTTTAGGCTCCTTTTTGTCCCTTTCTAGTCTCCTTTTGTTTTCCTTTTCGGGTCTTTTTTGGACTTCTTTTAAAGTACCTTTTAGACCTTTTTGGACACTTTTTAGGCTCTTTTTAGACTCCTTTTGGTCTCTCTCTGGTCCCTTTCTGTTTTCGTTTTTATCTTTTTAATTTCATTTTATTTTCCTTCATTATCTTTTTTTGAGTTTCTTCTCGATGTCTTCGTAGACTCTTTTTGAAGTACTTTTTAGACCTTTTCGGATTCTCTTTAATCTCTTTTTAGACTCTTTTTAGATTCTTTTTAATCTCTTTTTAATTTCTTTTTAACTTCTCTTTAATTTCTCTTTAATCTCTCTTTAGTCTCTTGTCTAGACTCCTTCTAGTCTCTTTTTTTAAACTTTTTAATTTCTTTTTAATCTCTTTCTGGTCCTTTATTTGCATTCCTTTTAATCTCTTCTTGGATTCTTTTTAATTTCTTTTTGATGTCTTTTTAGTCCCTTTTTTAATCTCCTTTTAATCTCCTTTTAATCTCTTTTTGGTCTCTTTTTATTCTCCTTTTCATCTCTTTTTAATTTTCTTCCAATTTCCTTTCTACTTTTTTGTTAATTTCTTTTTAATTTATTTTAATCTATTTTCAATTTGCTTTTAATTCGTTTTTAATTTATTTTCTTTTTCATTTGTTTCCTTTTGGTCTTTTTAGATTCCTTTTATCTTTTTTAATTCTTTTATATCTCTTATTTTGTTTCGAATCTTTTGTTTCTTTTAATCTCTTGTACTTCCTTTTAATTCCCTTTATTTCTGTTCATTTTGTTTTTAATTCTTTCAATTTATTTTAATTTGTTTTAATTTATTTTAATTTATTTTATTTATTTTTAATTGTTTTTAATTTTTCTGTTTTGTTCCTTTAAAAGAAAACTAGGAGAAACTTTTTTGGGAAGTTTGGGAAAGAAAATGAAAATAAATAAAACGATAAAATAAATAAAATAAATAAATTAATAAATAAAATAAATAAATAAATAAATTAAATAATAAAACAAATCAAATAATAATACGAAAAACTAAAATATAATAAAAGAGGAGAAATTAAAAAGAGATAAAAAGGAAACTTAGAAGAGGCAGAAAAGGTGAAAAAGAAATTAAAAACAAAAAAATAAAAGAAATGGAAGAGAGACAAAAGGAGACAAAAAGAAAAGAAAAAAGAAATAAAAAATAAATTAAATGAAAATAAAAAGAAATAAAAAGAAATAAAAAGAAATAAAAGAAGATCAAATGGAATTTAAAAAGTCGAAAAAGAAACGAAATAGAAGCAGCAGCAAAGCAGCGCCAGAGCCACGCTGAGGCTTCTGCTGCTGCTGCCGCTGCTGCTGCTGCTGCTGCTGCTGCTGCTGCTGATCTGGTTTTCTTATGCTCTTCTGCTGCTTCTGCTGCTGCTCTGGTGTTGTTGCAGCTGCTGCTGTTGCTGCAGCACCAGCAGCTGGTGCCGCTGCTGCAGCAGCTGCTGCTGTTGCTGCAGCCGCTGCAGCAGCAGCAGCAGCAGCAGCTGCTGCTGCTGCTGCTAAATCTGCGCCTCTGCCAGCAGCTTCAGAGTGTCCCCTCTGCTGCTGCTGGCCAAAAGAGACAAAAGAGAAAAAGAAGATAAATTTATTATTTCTTCTATTAGCTGCTGCTTGTTGAGGGGCCCCGCAGGGCCCCGCCGCAGGCCCCGCCGCTGCTGCTGCTGCTGCTGCTGCTGCTGCTGCTGCTGCTGCGGCTGCTGAGGGTTTTCCTGTGGCCCGAAATCCTGCTGCTGCTGCTGCTGCTGCTGCTGCAGTTGCTGCTGCTGCAGGCGAAGCCGCGCTGCTGCCTTTCGCAGTCGTATGTAGGAGACACTCTGCAGCACAGCAGCAGCCCTAGCTCGGACGCGCTCAGCGCTGCTGCTGCTGCTGCTGCTGCTGCTGCTGCTGCTGTGCTGCTGCTGCTGCTGCTGCTGCTTTTTGGGGTGGAAAAGGCCTCCTGGCGTTGGGAGCCTCCGGCTGCTCGAACCTTTGCTGCAGCTGCTGCTGCAGCTGCTGCTGCTGCTGCTTTTTTCTACAACTGGCTCAGCAGCAACAGCAGCAGCAGCAGCAGCAGCAGCTTCGTCCTTGTCGCCTTCAGCAGCAGCAACGACAGCATCTGTATCTACAGCATCGGCAGCAGCAGAATCAGCAGCATCCTCAGCAGCAGAGGAGGCAGCAGCAGCAGCAGCAGGAGAGGGTGATGTTCGCTGCTGCTGCTGCTGCTGCTGCTGCTGCACTGCCTCCTTCAGCCTCTTCCTCCACAGGGCGTCTCTCTCTTGCAGCTGGGTGTTGTGGATTTGCTTCCTGAGTTCAAGTTGCTGCTGCAGCAGCTGCAGCTGCTGCTGCTGCAGCTGCAGCTGGTGCCTCTCGTCCTGCAGCAGGAGTTGCTGCTGCTCCTGCTGCTGCTGCATCTGCTGCTGCAGCAGCAGCATCTCCTGCCGGTGCTTCTCCCTCTCCCGTGCTGCACAAGTGACCCAAGAAAGAGCAACACATTGCTGCACCCAGGCCTCGCAGGCGTCCACCAGCTGCTGCTGCTGCTGCTGCTGCTGCTGCTGCTGCTGCTCTTCTGCTTTGCCTGTGGGGCCCCTGGGGGCCCCCAGGGCCTCTCTGAAGCTCTTAGGAAGTCTGAGGGCCTTCAGCAGCCGCTGTTTCAGGCTGCTGTCTGTTTCGCTGTCAATCATTTTACCTATTATGCGCAGCAGCAGCAGCAGCAGTACCTGATGCTGCTGCTGCTGCTGCTGTTACCGCTGCTGCTGCTGCCGTTACCGCTGCTGCCGTTTCTGCTGCTGCTGCTGCTGCTGCTGCTGCTGCTGCTGATGCTTGTGAGGGAGGCTGGGAAGGAAGGCGTGACTCGGCGGGCCCCGGAGAGCCCGCGGGGTTGGGGGGGTCAAGCTGGAGTTAAATTGAATTAATGAATTAAATTGTTTGAAATTAAATTAAATTTAATAAATTAAATAAAATTAAACTTCTAAAATTTAAAAAACAAACAAAGACAGCCCAAACAGCCCCCGTGCGGCGGTGGGGTTGAGGCAGCAACACAGCAGCAGCAGCAGCACGGGGCTGCTGCATTTCAAGTTTGCATCGATTTGCCGACAAAAGTCATTTAAATCAGATTTATTTTAAATAATAATATATTTATTCAAAATAATTTCAAAAATTGCAATAAAATGAGACAAGATGCTTCGATAAATGCATCTAGAGCCTCTGAACTGGGGGGTTTAGGGTTTAGGGTTTGTCCTGGGGTTAGGGGTTTAGGGTTTAGGGTTTAGGGTTTATCCTAGGGGTTAGTATTTGGGACTTAGGTCTAATTTTAGGGTTTAGGATTGAGGGTTTGGGGTTTGTTTCGGGGTTTAGGGTTTACGGGCTATTTTTGGGGTTTACACTTGAGGGTTTGGGGTTTGTTTCAGGGTTTAGGGTTTACAGTCGAGGGTTTAGGGTTTACCGTTTAGGGTTTGGAATATAGATGAGGCAAACACACCACTGGGGGCCGCGTAAATCCCTAAAACCAAAACCCTAAACCCTAAACCCTAAACCCTAAACCCCTAGCCTAGGCTTCAAAGGCTATACCCTAAAGCCTCCTCCCTAAACCCTAAACCCTAAATGGCGTTTCCGGGCCACTTTGCATGCATCCTCGGCGGTCGCGCTTTGCTGCTAGAGCTGCAGCGTCTGGCCGTGCTGCCGCAGTTGCCCTGCTGCTGCTGCTGCTGCTGCTGCCCTGTTGTTGCTGCAGTTGCCCTGCTGCTGCTGCAGTTGCCCTGTTGCTGCTGCTGCTGCTGCCCTGTTGCTGCGGCAGTTGCCCTGCTGTCGCAGCTATGGCTGCCTTGCCGTTGCTGCTGCTTTGCTGCTGTTGTTGCAGCCGCAGCTACCTACCTACTGCTGCTGCAGCAGCTGCAGCTGCTGCTGCTGCTGCTGTCTAGACTACCTGTGTTTCTTCATTATATTATTTAATTCCAAAATGTTATTTCTGTGTTTTCATTTCACTGCTTGCTGCGGCTTAAAAGGCCATATGGCTGCCAGCTACAACAGTAGCAGCAGCAGCAAAGCCACAGCAGCAGCAGCAGCAGCAGCAAAGCCACAGCAGCAGCAGCAGCAGCAGCAGCAGCAGCAGCAAAGCCACAGCAGCAGCAGCAGCACTTCACCACTATTGTAATTATCTTTAAACTTGACCATTTTGTATTTAAAATGAATCCCCTTTATTCCCTAAGTGGTTTCTGCTGCTGGCGCCACGGCGTCGCCTTTGCTGCTCTTCGTGCTGCTGCTGCTGCTGCTGCTGCTGCTGCTGCTGCTGCTGCTGCTGCTGCGCTGCTTCTTCGCACGACTTCTTTCCTCCTATATTACTATTAGCATTATAG